TTCAGGTAACCCCCTCTGCCTGACATAGCCAGAGCTTGCTGACACCGTTCAGCACTGGAACCCACTGGTGCTTTGCTGCCCACACCGGACCCCTCGGCACGGTGGTTTACATGCCAGCCGGCCTCTCCCGGAGGCTTGCCCTTCGTCAGGTCTTACCGACCCTCCTTTGTAATGCAGCATGTAACCCAGGCATCAGTCGAATTCACCCATGACTTCCTGTAGCCCCTGCATCCTGCTTCATGTAACCCTTAGCCAATAAGGACTGGTGATACTCATTGAGCAGATGCCTGCTGCTAAGTACGGTGCTTTCCAGGTCTTATCTTTTTAGAGTCAGAGTCTTGCTCTGTCACTCAGGCTGGAGAGCAGTGGTGTGAAAATAAGTCACTGAAGTCTCAAATTACTGTGCTCAAGTGATGCCCCACTTCAGTATCCTGCGTAGCTATGACTACGTGTGTGTGCCACCATGCTCAGCTAAATTTTTTTTTTGTCTGTGTAGAGACAGGGTCTTGCTCTGTTGCCCAGGGTCTTGCTCTGTTGCCCAGGCTGGTCTGGAATTCCTGACATCAAGTGATCCCCCTGCCTTGACCTCCCAAAGTGCTGTAATTACAGATGTGAGCCAGCATGTCTGGCCCTTTATCTTATTTAATATTTGCAACAGTACTATTCTATCCAGTATGTATTAGACCCCCAGTTTTACAGAGAGGAGACAGGCTTGCAGAGGTTAAGTAACTTACTTCGCTGGCTAATATGGGCAGAGGTAGGATTCCAATCTAATGCTATTTTTTGACTAGAAAGTGCTGATTCTTTTAAAATTTATGTTATTTTTATTTATTTTTTTGAGGCAGAGTCTCCCGCTGTCACCCAGGCTGGAGTGCAGTGTCACGACCTTGGCTCACTGCAACCTCTGCCTCTTGTGTTCAAGCAATTGTCTTGCCTCAGCCTTCCAAGTAGCTGGGATTACAGGCACCCACCACCATACCTGGCTAATTTTTGTATTTTCAGTAGAGACTGTATTTTACCATGTTAACCAGGGTGGTCTCAAACTCCTGACCTTGGGTGATCCACCTGCCTCAGCCTCCCTAAGTGCTGGTATTACAGGAATGAACCACCGCACCCAGCCAATTCTTAGCCATGAAAGCACTCTGCCCATCTTAGTTCCTTAGACTGGCTAATTTATAAGCAGCAGAAATTCACTGCGTACAGTTCTAGAGGTTGGGAAGTCCAAGATCAAGACACCTATCAATTTTGTGTCTGGCGAGGGCTGTTCTCTGCTTCTAAGGTGCTGCCTTGTTGCTGCGGTTTGCCATGGTGGAAGGCAGAGGGACGAAAGGGCCTTGGGTAGTTCCTTCCACCCTTTTGTAAGGGTATTAATCCCATCTATGAGGGAGGAGCCCTCATGGCCCTAATCAGCTTCTAAAGGCCCCATCTCTTAATACTATCACAGTAGAGTCTTAGGTTCCAGTGTATGCATTACTGGGGGACACCTTTATTCAGACCATTTCACGGCCTTATGTAAAATACAGAAAGTCTTTTCATGACAGTCACTAATACATTTCATGATGAGCGAAACTGCTGTTGAGATATTTATTTCTTTTTGTTGGTTGCCCTCTATAGTAGGATCCATCTTCAAGCTTTATTTCCAGGAGGTTTGTCTTCGCTATGAACTTGTATATTTCTCTTCCCTTAGCCAAGGAGAGAGTCTCAGAGCTTGGGTTTCCCTAGGCAGCTTGGAGTGAAACTTAGTCCCTAATTGCAGCAGCTGTTTTTAGCTTACTTAGGATAATGTTCCTCCCTTTCTTGAACATGACTTTATATATCTATATGGATGGTTCAATTGCACGTGTTTTCTTTCCCACTAGACTTTGAGGTTTTGGATGCAGAGACTAAATGAACTGAATGTGTACCTAATTTTGTAAGCTGCCTTTTTTCAGAAGCAAATTATGTTGGTATATCAAGTGGGATTCAGTTGTGACCAGTTTTCTCTGCAAAGCACTCAACATTTATTCTGTGGCTGAACTGGGGCGTGGGTTGGGTGTGCTTGCTTGAGTATAATATCCTTATTATGACTGTACAATTTGGTGTAGTGAATCCAGAGCTGCAGACAACCAGGTAGAAGGTGACAGCAGGAAGATACTTACAAAACGCTGAGAAACTGTGGAGTGATGCACGGTGGAACGGAAGGAATGCTTTTCGTGCCAACCTCAGTGGGTCTTGCTCCAGGTAGCAGATTGGATGAGAACAGAGCAGGTGTCTTTCCATACCGATAAAGACTTAAACATTGGTGAAGATAACAGCTGGTGAGGCTCATCTAGCGAGGCTTATCTAGCAAGTTAGATAAGATCAGGGCAGGTGTGTTCTCATGATTATGGAAAACATCAGTTAAGATCGCAGCTGGTGGAGCTCACTGGCTGTGGGACCGGTGCCGAGGGTGAGGCACCCATGAAGTGTTATTCAGAGTTGACGTCTCATTTTCTGGACCATAGACGCCTCAGTCTGTTTTGTGCTGCTGTAACAGAATACCTGAGACTGGGTTGTTTATAAAAAGCAAAGATTTCTTCCTTACAGCTCTGGAGGCTGGCAAGTCCAAGGGCAAAGGTACTTTATCTTTCAGGGGCCTTCTTGCTGTGTCATCCTGTAGCAGAAGAGGAACAGAGCGTGAGTATTAGAATGAAGGAGACAGAGAAGGGGAAGGGGCTGAACTCATCCTTTTTGTTGTTGTTGAGACGCTCCTGCTGCCCAGGCTGGAGAGCAATGGTTCAGCTCACTGCAACCTCTGTCTCCTGGGTTCAAGCAAGTCTCCTGCCTCAGTTTCCCTGAGTAGCTGGGATTATAGGCGTGCACTACCACGCCTGGCTAATTTTTTGTGTTTTTAGTAGAGATGGGGTTTCACCATGTTGGCCAGGCTGGTCTTGAACTCCTGCCTCAGGTAATGCACCTGCCTCAGCCTCCAAAAGTGCTGGGATTAAAGGCGTGAGCCACCACTTGTGGCTCAACTCATCCTTTATCAGGATCTCACTCCTGTGACAGGTCCTACGCTGCAGTAACAGCATTAATTCTGTCCTCACGACCTAATCACCTCTTATAGGTCCCACCTCAACATTGTGACATTGGGGTTAAGTTTCCAACACACAAAATTTGGGGGAGACATTCACTATATGGCAGTGGGTATCAGTCCGTGCTCAAATGACCATGACACGCAGCCCCAAGGAATCAGGATTGGCTTTAATGAAAAGATAAGAGGAGTGTATATTCATACATGCGATTCTCCCTTTTAAAGCTTTTTGGTCTGACAATTAACTTGGAGGAAAAAGGAGGTGGTCATTGAAGTATTCTTCCAGAGGAAGATTCTTGTGTTCCATTTAAATTTAAGGATAGATTTGGGAACGTCTGACCCTGAGCTAGCTGAAGATGGCCCCTTATAATTGGCAAATGCACGTGCCCTTTGTCATCAGCACCCTCCCATTCGCAATTGTCCTGTGGGTGTGTGCGTTGTTAGCCGTGGAGGGAGTTGAGGGCGGGGGGTTGGGTGTTGCTGGCTGACAGTCGGCTCTCGTCGGCCGTGTGTCCGTTTTACTTTTTGGGGTCCTGAGCATCTGGGAGAGTTGTCCCAGTTGTTGTGATGAGCGAAAAGCACCTCTGATAGAAACAGAGAAACCAGGAAGTGTAGCCTACTTTGTAGGAAGATAATGAATTCATTTTGGCACATTTTGAGTTTGAAATGAGGGCTTGACATCCGGGTGGAAATGTCTGGCGCTTGGCTGGGGCTGCTTCATGGAAATAGCATGTAGGAGGCTTGAGTTCTAGAACTGCTTCTGTCACTAACTGGCTTTGTGCTCTGCGTGAAACCTGTTAACTCTCAGGGCTTTGGCAGGTCAGAGGCTGCCCAGTTCACCTTCCCGGAGCTCCAGCACCGAGGTGTTCTCCACCCACTCTTTGTGATGGACTCCCTGTGCTTCCTGCCTGTTGGCCCTAATTCTGCTCAGGGGTTTATCAATCCTCTTAGTCCCCTTTGCTAGATGAGGAAGCAGAATGTGACGTGTTCAGCGTCTTGTTCAAAGTCACAGAGAGCCTCACTGGACGAGCTGGGCCAGGAACCGTGCTCTTCCTGCTTTGGAGAGGCTCGTCTTCCTCCCTGCCTTTCCTCTTCCATTCTCCTCCATTGTCTTTGCTGCCCTTTCATCTCACATCTCTTTTGCCTTAGCCTGGAGCTTCCAGTCAGCCTTGCGTTAGTGGAAACTTCTCAGCCTCACTGGTGACTGCCTGGGTGCGGGAGCTTTGTTATATTGGTCTAAAAGGATGCTTTCACGTTGAGGGTGCTGGAAGCAGCTTCCCTGTGGGGCACCTGAAGGCAGCACTCACCTCTCCAGCGGGGCAGGTGATTAGCATTTCGGAAGGCGTGTGCTCTCGTGCCACTCAAGTAAGCAACACCTGCGTCTCAACCGGGCTTGGAGAGCTGCTTCTTGGGATGCAGATCACCGCATGGACTCAGAGCTTGCGCATTTTCTACCTGTTGTAAGTGCAGTGTGACTGCGACGCCTGTATTATCTGGGAGAAATGAGACACTTGGATCTCTGCTTGACCACAGCCGAGGCATCTAGTCCCTGGGCATCTCGACACCTCTGGGATTCTCCGCCCTTCCTTACAAGCATCAAGTGAGAATTTATCAGGCCCAGAAAAGGTGCCAAGGACATTGCTATTTGCATGTAGTTTGATGGGGATGTGGTGTGCCATGATTAACACGGACAGCATGGTTCAAATTCATAATTAAATGGGGAAAATGAAGTAAGATGGACAGAGAAGGAATGGGAAGAACCTGAGTTCCTTTGGAAATTGCTCAGGTCATTGGGACCCCGGAAATACCCTGACTTTCCCTCTAGAAATGTTATTGTTATTTTCAAAATGACACTGGCCATCTGAAAATCAGATGTCCCTTTAAGAAAGGAAAGGAAGGATGAACGATGATGTCTTTCTTTTCCTCTCCCCTGTTGTCTCTTGGGCAGGGAAAAGATGCCGTTCCACCATGTGACCGCTGGCTTGTTGTACAAGGGGAATTACCTCAACCGATCGCTCTCTGCGGGCAGTGACAGCGAACAGCTGGCGAATATCTCCGTGGAGGAGCTCGATGGTAAGGAGGCCACCCTGTCTGGGGGCTGTGTCGCGACCCAGGGAGGCTACTGTGGCTACTGTGAAACTGAGTTGAAAGTCCTGGGCTCTGGCCACTCCTTGGCAGCTGTGGCCAAATGTAATCATGACGTGATAGGAAACAGTTCAGAGACGAAATTTTGCCCAAGTGGCTTTTTAGTGTGTGTATGTGTGCAAGACAGACCTGTTAGCCTGAACAATCTGTGGTGGATATTTTGATGTCCTTGGATATTGACTGGGGGGAGAGCCTTCACCTCTCTTAAAATGTGTTTTCCAATTTCCGGAGTCTTTATTACCAGTGGAATTGTCTGGTTTCTGTGCTGTCGCTGACAATGGGGTCCATCTGCCAGGGAGGTTTAAGCCCTGTTAATGGCTGTTGCTTGACTTCTGGCCATGGTGCTTTGAATCCTGCCCAGATCAGAATCGTCTGGAAGCTCCATCTAGGTGGCAGTGGATAGCAATTATTTTAATTGCCTCTGTTCCTTCACAACATGGCATAGCCCCGTGTGTTCAAGGCAGGGGTGAGGGACGGACATAAACCTGGGAACACGATGACTAAATTCATCCTGGGACGGTGTCACGTTGCATCTTGCATAAGGCAATCTTCTAGCTGAAAAAACAATTAAAAATAGGAAAAACAAGTTTGTTTGTTGTTTGGTTTTTCCCGGAATAGAGAATTAGATTGATTTAGGCTGATGGGTTTTTACTGCACCTGCTGAGGTCAGACCCGAATCCATTTTCCCTAGTGTTTCTGAATGCTTTGTTGCTTGTAATAATACCGTTTTAAAGCACAAAGTTTAGATTTACTTTCTCAAGAAGTCAAAATTACCCCAGATGGCCCACGTATTTGCTTTCAAGTGTCATGGTTCAAATCAATGTGCTTTGTAGGTGCACATTAGGGAGTCTTATTTCTCCCAAAAAGAGGGTGGAGGACATTTGGCTCTGATGTAGCAAAGCCAAACTCGCTTTACAACAGGCAGGAGGTGAGGGAGGCGAAGGGGACAGGCCACAGAATAGCCTCTCCTTCTCCCGTCCGTTTGTGCACTTATTTAAATGCTTGCTTGTTCACATGCATGAGAAGGGAGGCAGCAGAGGATGTGGGCCCCGTGGGCTGGGTCTAAGCAGAGTCTGGGGGACGTTTGAAGAAGTGCGGGTGATGGGTGCCGAGTTAAGATTTCCAGGGATAGCAGCGGCTCACTGTGATCTGGACAGACTGGTGGCCTGAGAGGACAGCAGCGACCCTTGTGTCTTCTGGTCTGCGGTTGAGTATAAGGTGTGCTGGGTGTAGGACTCAGAAGCAGGAGATTGAGCACATCTCCAAAGTGAGCCCACGCTGGTGACCACAAATCAGGCTGAGGCTGCACTTGGTGGTGCCTTGGTCTGTTCATGCCGCTATAGCGAAGCACCGTAGACCAGGTGGCTCCTAAAGAACAGACATTTGTTTCTCGCAGTGCCGGAGGCTGGGATGGGTAGGATCAAGGTGCCGGGAGATTTGATGTCTGCGGAGGGCCACTTTCTGATTCATACATTTCACCTTCTTGCTGTGTCCTTATATGGTGGAGGGGTGCATAAGTTCTTTTGGGACTTTAGTATGTACAGGCACTGTGTCAGTGTGCTTTGTGTCCTCATATGGTGGAGGGGTGCATAAGTTCTTTTGGGACTTTAGTATGTACAGGCACTGTGTCAGTGTGCTTTGTGTTGCTATAGCAACATAGCACAGACTGGGTGATTTATACAGAGAAGAAGTACGTTTGGCTGATGGTTCTGAAGACCGGGAAGTCCAAGTGCATGGCACTGATACCCAGTGAGGGCCTTCATGCTGTTTCATTCCATGGCAGAAGGGGGAAGATGAGAGAGGGTAAAAACGAGAGCAAGAGAGGACCTAATGCACTTTTTTTTTTTTTTTTTTGAGGTAGAGTCTTGCTCTTGTCACCCAGGCTGGAGTGCAGTGGTACGATCTCAGCTCACTGCAACCTCCACCTCCTAGGTTCAAGCTTCTCCTGCCTCAGCCTCCTGAGTAGCTGGGATTACAGGCACCCACCACTGCACCCGAATAATTTTTTTTTACTTTTAGTAGAGATGAGGTTTTGCCATGTTGACCAGGCTGGTCTTGAACTCCTGACCTCAGGTGATCCACCCGCCTCAGCCTCCTGAAGTGCTGAGATGACATGCGTGAGCCATCGTGCCTGGCCCAAACTCATGTTTATAACAATCCACTCTCTGGGTAATGAACTCCCCTCTGAGATAATGACATTAATCCATTCATGAGGGCAGATCTTTCATGAAATAATCACCTCTTAACCATCCCACCTCTTAGCACTGTCATAATGCCAATTAAATGTCCATGTGGGGTTTGGAAGGGGCATTCAAACCACAGTAGACACTAACCCCGTTTGTGAGGGCTCTGCCTTCCTAATCACCTCCTGGAAGACCTCACTCCCTAATGACATCACGTTGGTGATGAGGTTTCCACATATGCGTTTTGGGAGGACCCAAACATTCAGCTCGCAGCAGGTACGTTTGGGAGGAGAAGCCAGGGTCAGGCTTTTCCGACCTCTGGGAGGCTTCACACTGAATGGACATTATTAGGGCAGGTGGTGCATTCCTGTGGGCTGGATGCTTGCTTGTGTTTGAGTAGATCCCTCAGGCTCAGTCATCAGGTAGCAGGAGGGACTGGGAGTGGCCCTGGCTGTGAGAACCGAGCAACACTCTCTGTATGTTTTGGGCAATTCTTTAAGAGGTTAAAAGTCACTAACCACATGGAGTTTGGAAATCATCTGCGGCTTTCTGTGTTCTCCCCACTTCCTCTTCCCACCTTTGCCATGAGTGATTGGGAGATGATTTCTCTGTGACTTCTCAGTGCAATGGCTTTTTTTTTTTTTTTTTCCACTGTTAAGTTCCAGCTCTGCTAAGGCAATTGCTCAGTCCACTGTGGGGGCTCATGGCTTTTCAAGAGGGCTGTGGCTGGGTTCCAGCCCTCCCCTCCCTACCTGGGTACCCTTCTGAAATGCCCTCCACTTTCTTGGACAAACAGAAAAAGCACAAAAACTTGCTATTTTGACCAGGCAAAGGCAGCTTGAGAAAAACTGAAATGCCGTTTTTCAGTGTGTAGATTAGCGGGAGTGATTCTAAGAGCCCTCCAAGCCCAGACTGGCAGCCTGAGCACTGGCCGCCTTGGGGTAGCTTACCGAGTGGAGACCCGCTGGTGAAGATGCTGTGTTTGTCCCTCAGGAGGGTCACCCAACCTCTCAGCCTGGGGAAGGGCCATTTATTTTCTGACGGAAGATTCATTCTGCGTATTTATTTAGTTTTTGCCGAGGTGAACACTTGAGTTATGACTGCTCCTGCTTTATTACAAGCACCTCGGGGCTCCGGGATGGACAGTGCAGATGTGTTCTGAGTTTACAGCAGGCATGCAGGCTCTGGAAACCAACTGGCTTGCATCGACTCAGGTGACTGCGGACGGGTCTCGGGGAAGCCAGTTGCCAGGGCACTGTTGGCTTGCTGTTCTCTCGGGCAGCCTCGTGGCAAGGTGACCCTAAAGTTCTGCTGGTTGGGGCCACCCATTTATCCTCAGAGGACAGGCGATGTTGCATTGGGAGTTGATGCGTTGGACGCTGATGGCCGCTGCAGCATCCTTGGCGGTCTGGCTGCCTTGAGCATCATCATTAGTTGGGTACTGTCCTTACCTGCTCTCTACCTCCCATCCTGCAGCCTCCGCAGCCTTCTGCTTGTAAATGGCTACAGGTTTCCCCACCTGTTCGTGTTTATCACCAGTCATGGAAAATGCCTTTCCTTCAGTGGAAGGGCCAGTGGTGCACACTTCATGAGTGGTTATCCTCTGAAAACAGGCATGAAGAGGACCACGTGCCATGCTGGTCATTTTCACCTGCAGTTCACTTCTGGGCAGTCCCTGTCTCTTCTCTTTAAACAAAGCTCAGGAGGGAAAAATGCGAACCTGCATCAAGATGACCAGGTTAAAGTTGGGAATCACCCAACCAATCAAACTCAGCAGAGGTGGATTAATGGAGACATTCATTCATTCATTCATTCATCCATCAATTTTCATTCATTCATTAAAGGGATGTTTAGTAGGTAGAGGAGGAGATGCTTTCTAGGTAGTAGAGGAAAATCATAATATTCATAGTCTGTTTCCAAGGGGCTTACATCTATCCGGGAAGTTTATGCATATACCAGATTTATTAGCAATATCTTATACTTTTAGAGTGCATTGTATGGGATTTTATTAGATATATGCGTTATGATTGTTGAAAAATAGTTTTCTCAGTGCTATTTATTGAATAATCTCATGCTGCTGTCTTTTTTTTTTTTTTGAGACAGTGTCTCGCTCTGTCACCCAGGCTGGAGTGCAGTGGCGTGATCTTTACTCACTGTAACCTCCACCTCCCAAGTTCAGGCGATTGTCCTGCCTCAGCCTACCAAGGATGACAGGCATGTGCCACCCTGCCCAACTAATTTTTGTATTTTTAGTAGAGACAGGTTTCACCATATTAGCCAGGCTGGTATCGACCTTCTCACCTCAAATGATCTGCCTGCTTTGGCCTCACAAAGTGCTGGGATTACAGTCATAAGTCACTGTGCTTGGCCTTGAAATGCTATCTTAATATTAAACTAAATCCGCCTCCATATGATGTTCATCTATTTTCCTTAATATATAATGTTCCATTGTATATAAATATATCTTAATTTATTTTCCTATTCTCAATGGATATTTGGGTGGTTTGCAGTTTGGAGCTATTAGGAAATAGCTGTTTTCCAGTTTGTGAAAATCTCTTCTGTTTCTGGTCGTAAATTATTATATATATTCATAAAAAAATCTTTTTCTCCAAGTCTTTCAGATGATGGTACGTTTCTTTGGCATGAAAATTTTTAAAAATATAATTTATATTGCTTTTTTTTTTCTATTATGCTTCGTGACTCAACATTATGAAGTTTTTTTGTAGGCTCAGTATTTGTCAGTAA